TTCCTTGAAATTCCCTGCTATACTTTCATTAGAACGATCCCCTGACTGTATCACTTCTCCACATAAACAATGTGGACTGGCTCCTCAATACCTGTCTACAGGATAAAGTCCAAAGTCAGTCCTGCATACATTTAGGGGAGGAGCCGTTGAAAATGCACTGAGAAATTACCCTCCAGTTTCTTCTCCCATCCCATTAAACTCATCCATTCAATAAGCTTTTGCATAATAGCATGTCTTAAAATGGTATCTATCTTCTCCATAGATATTTAGTTTGAACAATGTACTACACCTCAGCTCTGTGGCCAGGGTGTGTGATAACTGCAGTCACACAGGGTCCTGTGCTCAGAAGTGTTTGGGTGTTTAATGCTCTGTGGTCACCATCTTGAAATCCTTAATACTTTTATCTTTGAATTTGTGTTTTGTGAAATATGATGAGGCTATTGAGGATGCACCAGGGGCTTGATGTCTTGACTCACAGGTGGTCCTGTGTCCCATTGCCTCTCTGGGATGAGTTCTTAGCCACCCACCAAATCCTAACTTCTGCCTGGCCTCCCAGTCCCTACTCCTGCCTCTTTAATGACTGGAGCAACCAGGTGTGGGTGGCCCAAGTTCTACTGTTACACTCTGCCCCCAGCAGGGACCTGGGCAAGGCACAGGCAGGACAGTTAGGCAAGCATCCCGATGCTTCTTGGGGTGGCTCAAGGCATTGTCAGTCCCTGCTCAGGGCTGGTAGATCATGGTGCATTCAGTGGCCACTTCATGGGGCCCTCTAGTCTGCTCCCAACCCTGGGCAGTTACAATCTCTTGGGGATCACCTATCCACCATGGGTTAGCACAGTAGGCCCATGAAAAGGGAGACTGACTTACCCACCCAGACTGCATCTTCTGTTTGCACAGTGTGATGCAAATTATGTAGCCTGCTCTGTCTAATGGCTCTCTGTGATGTGTTTCTTTAAATAGAGAGGAAATGTCAAGTCATAATAAAATTATGACATTAATGTTACCTCTAAGGGTACTGAGTGCAAGAAACTAACAATTTAATAAGTTTGGGCTTTTACACTGACCTATGTTAATGTATGATTTCATGCTATTTTGCATGGCAAGGCAAGTTTCTCAGAATTCATTTGATTGCTAGATCAACGTGAAAAAGCATTATCTGCCTGCCTTGAGCATGGCCAATTGTTGACCTCTCCAATTAAGTAGACTCGAGAATGAAAATTCAATTACAGTGAACAAACACTTCTTGAACACTTCCTATGTGCGAGGTCCTATGCCAGGCCCTGTGGGGAACAGGCAGATTTGTGAGATCTGTTCTTATCTTTGGAGGGCTTGCAAGCAAGCAGGAGGAGGTAGAGATACATGCATGGATGGCTATGGTGTGGCACACTCTTACCTTATCAAAGCAGAGGAAGTGGAATCTGTCCTGAAACTGGTCTGTTTGTAGGCAGCACCTCACAATAGGCAAAGCTGGTACCCGTCTTATGTCCACTTTCCTACTTTAAGAATGGGACTCTACGTTTTTTCCAGTGTCTATCCTTTGGAAAAGATGAGTCTATCTTCAGCTCAGTGATAAATCTTGATTGGTTTAGTTCCTAATAGCAAAGGTCAGTGAGTTACAACAAGGTTTGTTGTTTTTACTCAAACTACATGTATAACATAGGTTGACAGGGGAGTTCTGGATACTCGGTGACTCAAATATTCAGAGACTCAGGCTGAAGGCAACTTCAGAGGGTAATGACACTGTCATCTCAACAGGACTTTCAAAATTACTGAGAAAGGAGGAAAAGCAGGCACAGACAATCTCGCACCATCTCTAAATGCTTCCACATGGAGGTGACACACATCACTTCTGCTCACCTTGTACGGGCCACAGCAAGTCACAAGGCCATGCCCAACTTCTAGGGCCTAGGAACTGTGGTCCTCTTATGCACCTGGAAGGAGAAGAAAACTGGAAATATTGGTAGGTGGTGCTTGCGTCCACACACATGCAAACCGAGTGCATGAGTTTAAAGCTTACAGCGTTAACCCCTCCATTTTTGGAAGAACATGGCCCTAGAGTTTTTGTTTTGATAAATACATTCTTTCACTCTAATTTCTAGTATTTCCTAATACCCGAGAAACTGCCAGCAGCGTCCGGTGCTTCTGAGCTATAACTGCTTTCATTGTGTTCCCAAAAGTACTTGTTCCTTCCTAAGTTACAGATAGGTGGGCTTTTCATAAATTACTTCACATTTTACATTATTATAACAATGATGAATTCTTTTTTTAATGAAGATATTATACTGTAATATTAATGTATTTTTGTTTCATCCTTAGATCATCATCCTTTAGTTTGTCCTTTACATAAGGTTTTTGATTTGGGGCAAGGAAGGGGGAATAAATGAAGGAATAAATGAATGAGGTGACTTCTTTAACAAGGCAATAGGTTTATTAGGCCATGAACAGAAAGTAGATTTTTCTAAATTCCTTTAATATAAGGGATCCAGCCAAGAGTTCCTTCTGTAAAGTAGAAAAGATGCTACTCCACAGTGGACAGCTAGGTCTGGAGGCTACTGGACAAATGTAGAGAATAAGATTATGAAGTAGAGGAAGGAATAAATTGGCACCCCTTTTTTCCCCCCAAGGAATTATGGGTTGCACAGGGGGGAGCCCTGGTAGGTGGGAGTGCTCAGGCACATGGCCCTCCCCTTGAAATGCAAGCACAGCAGCTTTAGAAGGGATAGGAACACAGAGCTGGGAAGAGAAACATAAAAACCCATGGTTCCTATGATACTGCAATATAATAATAATAGCTACATTTAATGACCCAGGCACTGTGTTAATTGCCTCATATATATATATATATGATTTCTTTCAACCTATTGTTGAAATAGTCTATAGTTATTACTCACGAGAACCTATTGTTATTACTTCATTTTAGAAGATAAAGAAACTGAAGCTTACACAAGGCATGTGAGTGGCCCAAGTCTATATATCTAGTAAGTCATGGAACCAGGATTAGAACCTATATATCCCTAACCAAAGAGCCCACACCTTCAACTGCTATACTATAATGTCACTTTCAGTAGCAGCTGATCTAGATTATAGTTGACTAGCCTGCCTAAAGTCTCTTCTTCCTTGAAATTCCCTGCTATACTTCCATTAGAACGATCCCCTGACTGTATCACTTCTCCACATAAACAATGTGGACTGGCTCCTCAATACCTGTCTACAGGATAAAGTCCAAAGTCAGTCCTGCATACATTTAGGGGAGGAGCCGTTGAAAATGCACTGAGAAATTACCCTCAACTGAGCCGCTGAGTCATCACTCCTTGAGGCCATTCTACTGCAGGATTTCTGTTACATGAGAAAGTTCTTATTGGTAGGGAAAATTCAGTCAGGCTGCTCAAGGCGACTTCGGGGGATGTCCTGGACCTCCTCAGCCTGTGCTGCTTCCAAGGCTCACATGTGTCCTGGTTGCACCTGGTTGCACATCCCAAGGTGTGCGCTTTCTCAGAGCCGCTCCTGACATTGGTTCCTGTGAACTTGCTGTGGCCCGGCAGGGTTCTGGCCTTATCTTAGGATGGGATAGCTTCAGGAAAGACTGCTGTTTCCAAGGTTTCCCTAAATTCAGAATCTAGTCTTGATATTCACAGAGAACATGCTTTGAGGTCACTTTCAAATCTGCAGACATTATGGTAATGTAATTTCTCCACAAAACACAATAAATAACCCCTTTTGATTCTTAGTAATGCTATTGATATAGGACTGGAGTAAGTAGTAAAGTTACCAAATTCTTCCACTAAAATAAACTTTACATTACATTATTACGTCTTTAGCAATATTTACTAAGAACTTATGTGAATTTCCAAAAATAAGGTGAAGAGGATAAAAACAGTTTTTAAGGAATATATCAGGAGAGTTACTGATTACATGGAGTGCCTCCTTTGTGTGACAAAAGACACTCACTCCCCCTCACCCAACTTGTAGCATATATCTATCTGTGTCAAATTTATGCCTCAGCAAAATAACAAATGCATAAATATTACAGCTCTTTGGGATTGTTCAAACATGCAGAAATAATATCATTTTTTTTGATCCTTAAAAGTCATTGGTTTCATCTTGTGTCCAGTTCTGTACACTGATATGGCTTCCTCGAGTGCTGGCTGAAAAGGACTATGAGGCCCCTTCCGGGTTTGGCCAGGAAGTGTGCTGGGATTGGTTGTAAATGACTTCCCTGGGCGTGGGAGGAGGCAGCGGTGGCAGCCTTACATTGTTTCTGCGACCCAGGGTTTGCATACCATGTTTGAAAGGCAGTTAGAACATATTCAGGCCTGACATGTTGCAATTCCTCTTCCAATTCCATGTTTCCAATTACTTTTAGCTTCAGGATAAATTTATTTCATCAATTGATTGAACACCTTGGTGCCGTAGGCATACTGTTAAGCATTGTGAGCAATTAAAAAAATGAGTCAGACTTGGATTTAATCCACAAAGAACTTAGTTAATAGAAGAGAAAGATATATGTGTGTTTAGGGTATGAAGTGATAAGATGATGCAAGAAAGGATTAGAGAAAGGGAAGGGAGATGCGTCAAAGGTGGGAAAGGATACTCATAGTTACTGTGCCAAGCATGCCAGTGAGGGCGTACTGGCACGGAGCCTTGCAGAGATGTGAGTGAGCAGGACTGTGGGGCTGGGTGCATCTGAGTGGCCAGAATGAGTGAAAGCATCAGCATGGAAAGCTGAAAGCTGTGGGTGGCTGACTGACTGATGAGCATATGTAGCTGCTGTTGATTCCAGTACCCCACAGAGTAAGCAGGTTGCCTATTGGGCTTCATTAGATTGTTGTGCAGGTGTGACATCCATTTTCATAGGGGTTGTTTTGGCCAGGGGAAAACCTGCTCTGTGGAAAGATCATCTTTCATCACCATTTGACATGTGACATATAACAAATACCTTATAGTAAACGAGAGGCCTCACTGGTATCTGACACTGTATAGTTTTATTGCAAACCTAGAAGAACTGTCAAAGTTTCCATCTTTATTTTTTTAACTACATACAGAGCCATCAAACATTGCCAATGAAGAACATTCCTGACATCATATTATTCCATTACATGAATAGGGCAAAAATTTTTTAACATATTGCTGACCAAGAAACTAGCTGTTGATCTGTTGAAAATATGTGTGAAAACAGCTTAAAATTGCAAATAGAAGATCACTCCTAACATGCTCTTAGGTCATGTCATACATACGCAGACATACAAACATGAGGTAGGATTTTGTTAAATTTCTTTTTAAAGTACTTCAAAAACGAAGGCAATGCTGTCAGTTTTACTAAAATAATAATAACGAAAAACCAAAAAATTTAAAAAATGTATTTCAGTAACAAGCAGAAAGCTGTAAAAAGCCAGCCTAAGAAGAACCAAGAAATATACTCGTCAATAAAATTAGGATGCACATTCTAGTGTTAGAAAAAAGTGAAATTTAAATAAACCTAAACATCCTTGTAAAATTCAGAATGCTTCTTTGAAATACGAAATATGAACTTGGATGTCGAGGGACTTCTCAGGCCTTCATTTTACTTACTGATTGGCTTGAGACTATCTTCTAAGCAAACCTAAAACAGAGAAAGTGATTCTATGACACAGAGTAAATAAGTTCTTCTTGGACCCAAAGCCACAAGCAAGCTAGTTTTGTGTTCACTTTCTCCCCCTTCCTCCCCGTCCCCTCCCCCTTCTCTCCTCCCACCCCGTGCCTTTCGCTGGAGTTTGTATGGGCAGCCTTAGATCTATATTTACCCACTATATTTAGTAAGTTTGATTATGCATAGCCTAATTTCAGATTTGAGATGATGATCCAGATTTTTGTTCACTGAAAGAACTTGTTCTTTTTTTATCTGTGGTTGATAGCCTCAACTTACTTCTTTCTCTTCTTTCTATTCATAGGCTTCTTTTGCCTCAGGCCTTGGTCCTTGCTGTTCTCCTGGAGGAGCTCTTCGGACACAGCTGCCCAGGCCAGTCCTTTCCTGACTTGGAAGTCTCCACTCAGCTGCCACCTCTCCGGGGAGGCCTCCCAGACCGCCCAATGTAAACAACACCCACCTCTAATCCCTGGCATGGCCACTCTCTAGTTTACCACTCTATTTTCTGTCTGCCTGCTATGCAGTTTTTCTTTGTAAGTTTTTATGTAATTGAAAATATTTTTTACATACAGTAAAACTCACACTTTTTAGTGTAGTTCTGTGAGTTCTGACAAATGCATCCTGCCACATACTACCACCACAACAATCAAGATACAGAAATGTTCCATCACCCTAAGAAATGTTCCCATATGCCTTTAGGGCTAGCCTTCCTCAACCCCAGCTCTGGTCTGTTTTCTGTACTTAAGAGTATTGCCTTTTCCAGAATGTTATATAAATGGAATCCAGTAGTATGTGGCCTTTTGAGTCTGGCTTCTTTCACTCAGCAAAATGTATTCAAGACTCATCTGTATTATTAACATGTTATCAGTACTTTATTCCTTTTTATTACTGAAAATTATTCCATTGTATGGATAGACTACAGTTTATTCATTCTCCATTTGAAAGACATTCTACTTGCTTCCAGATTCTGGTAATTACAAATAAAGCTGCAGTGAACATTCAAATACAGTTTTCTTTTCACTTGTATAAATACCTAGGAGTGGGAATGCTGGGTCACATGGTAAGTGAGTTTTTAACTACCTAAGAAACTGTGAAACTGTTTTGTAACATTGTTGTACCATTTTGTATTCCTACCAGCAATGAATGAGTGTTCCAGTAGCTCCATATCTTCACCACCACTTGGTACTGTCAGAATTTTTATTTTAACCATTCTGTTAGGTGCATAGTGTATGTCATTATGGTTTAATTTGCATTTCCATAGTGACTAATGATGCTAACCATCTTTTCATGCGCTTACTTGCTATTACATTTTCTTTGATGACATATCTGTTCAAATCTTTGCCCTTTACAAAAAAATCATTGTTTTCTTATTGTTGGACTTTTTGGGGGGTATTATATTATACATTCTTTTTTATATTCTGGGTACTAGTTTTTTTCAGATACCTGATTACCAAATATTTTCACTCTGTAACTAGCTTTTTCGTTTTCTTAATGTGTCTTTCAGAAATCATATGTTTTTAAATTTGATAAAGTACAACATAATTTTTCTCTTTTCATGAATTGTTTCTGGTGTCATAACTAAGACATTTTTCTCAAACCCAAGGTGACAAAAAATTTTTTTTCTATATTCTAAAAGTTTCATATTTTTGGGTTTCACACTTCAATCTATTATCCTTTTTGAATTAATTTTATAGATGTTGCAAGATATGGAAGGAAGTTCATTATTTTTATTGCATACTGATATCCAATCACTTCAGCACCACTTTTGAAAGACTACCACTCCTCCATTTAATTGCCTCTGCAACTTTGTTGAAAATCAGTCGACCATACATACATGCCTGGGTCTATTTCTGACCTCCATTCTATTCCATTCATCTGTATTCATTCCTTTCATCAGTACCACACTGCCGTGACTACTGTAGCTTTATAATGAGTCTCAATTACTACTGTTTATCTTTTTCAGAAAATCTACCACTATCTGAAATTATCTTTTTAATTTGTTTACTTCTTTGATGTCTGTCAGGAGACATCAAGCCCTGAAACTTTCTAGAATCCTGAGGCCTTGGAATTTGCACCTATTTCATTCTCTGTTGCCCTCCAGCCCTGAGAAGAGTGCCTGGCATACAGTAATTGCTCAATACATTGGATGAAAGGAAAACAGGAAGGAAAGCAATATTTAAGTTGAGGAAATCCAGGCAACTTTGTATTTGGAGAGAAGAAGGATCAGATTGTTGCGTGAGAAGCTATGCACAGAATGGAGGCTTGGAGTGCGGGGTTAACATGGAGGATTAAATGCTTTTTGGGCTGTGGCATTTTGACGGCAAGCTCAGTTCTTTCAGGGCCCATCAGGGGCTCCACGGGGCCCCATTCATTCATTCACTCATCAAACATTTATCCAGCACACACTGTGTAACACTGTTACAAATGGCACTAAGCAAGATCTTGTGCTAAAGGCATGAGGGGTTGCAGACAAATAAAGCAGTAACTGAGACAGTCATCCAGGTGTGCTAAGTGACATCGGCACAGGGATCTTGGAGTGCTGTGGGAGGGGCATCTAATTCAGCCCTGGGCTTGGAAGTCTTCTCAGAAGTGGGCATGCGTGATGATGTTCTCAAGTTTTCAGAGAAAACTTTGAACTTCCACTTCCCTTTAAGAGAAAATTTGCAACAATGTTTCATAGGACTTTGCTGAACAGCTCTGGCTGTTTCTGGGTTCTGGGGACTGATAGTGGTGGTTGTATGGATTAACTCTGCTCTAGGCGTCCCAATCAGTGCTCTCTTGGCACCTTCAAACTGTCCTTCACTCACTTAATGCAGGTATGATGACATAATTATTTGTGCAGTTTGCTATCTGATGCCCACTTCCCTCCCGTTATAATGTAAGCTTCATGGAGGGAGGGACTGCGTCTGCCCAGGTCCCTGCTGCATCTCCACAGCCCAGGACCGTGATGGCCCAGTGGATCCTGGGACAGACTGTGTGGGACTCAAATGATACAGATCTAGTCTCACAGTTCTTAGAAAATTTGCTGGGTTACTGGAGGCCTTTCCTTGGCTGATGAAGTAGTTCTGTCCCTTTGCTCACTTTTAGAAACAGCTGTTATTTAATTACTTTTACTTTTAAATTACTTAAAAATATGACTAGTCAAAATAAAGGCTCCCCAACCATACCCAAGGACAAAAGGATCTCTCACATTCATATTATGAGATGTTCACATTTTTAGTAATTAATCTGTCGACGTTGAAAGGTGTTTAGCATGTCACTGATGTTCAGATGGTGTCAAGAACCAGCCAAAAACCAAAAATGAATCTTTTGCATTTGTGTGTCAGTAGGCCCTATTTTACCATAAAATGGGTAGAATAAAAAGCAAATGGAGAAAGTTATTTATTTTGATGCTAAATTACTAATGAATTCCTCTGGATAATGCCATTTATTTTAGGTTCTTCCACATAACAACACACACACACACACACACACACACACACTCTTGTGCCTCTTGGTTGCTGGTAAAAGCAAATTGGAATTCAGTGCAGAGGGTGGGAAAAGGGTATTACCACTGCTGAAGATTTAACTGGGTATCTACTATACCCTAAGTACTTCTCAAAGATTCTGTCATTCAGTCCACATCTCCACTGAGGATACTGAGTCACAGATATTAGGAAAAGGATGGTGAAGAAATATACTCAAGATCTGGAATTCCCAGGGGAGACATAGTTTTAATTACCCTCATCTGCTTAAATACGTCAGCCAGACTTGCTGCTGAGTGAGAGAAAAAGGGGCCAGGGAAGGCATCTGCCCTTGCTGAAGACTCCATCTGTTTTGACAGGACTGTGGCCATCTTGCATATCACTAGACCTTTGACAAGCTATCCCTTTGATCTATGGCCACTGGGTTTATGCCCCCAGGCAAAGCAGGGGCTGGACAAGGCCAACACCCTCTCTGGGTGGTTTTCTTGCTAAAACCCTGTTTATGTCAGATGAAGTGGGAGTGGGACTCTGGAGCAACTAGTTCACATAGTTTTTACACTAAAAGGTGGTTTTCCCAAAAAATTTAGTTTCTTTTTCAAAAGCCAAATGATTCTGTATGAAATGAACTATAAATCATCATTTATTTACTTATTGATAGAGTTGGAGAGCAGAAGACAGGAAGAAAAGGAAGAAAAAAGGATACTAGCATTTACTGAGTACTAATTATGTCAACTATTAAATACTTGGATATGTTAATGGAAATCATTGCAATCTCTCATTGAAGTAAGTATTGTTTATCCAGTTTTACACATAGAAAACTGAGGCCTGGCCAGGTTAAATGGCACTAGGGAATAGTCAGCCTGTTCTTTCTGAGGCCCAAACTTGTGCCCTTTGCTTTACCTGGCAGGATTGTCCAGAGGAATGGAAGCAAGGACTCCTTTCTTGTCTCAGAACTAAAGATAACATCCATATTCTTAAATGGCAATAAATTTTAAATATCTGTACCATGTGCAACAACTGGCAAACAACACACACAATTGTATCCTTGCCTCTGTTTTTCCTTCCATGCTTCAAGGTCAAAATTTCATTTCCCATCTCTGCCAAATAATTCTTGGTTTGTTTTCCTGAATTTCCATTTCTCTTCAAGTTTCCAATACTATAGAGACATGATACTTTGAATAAAAGCCTTGGGGAGACATGATAACATGAGAGAAAAGACTCTTTAATAAGGAAGTCAAGAGGGACAGTGTCCAGTAGTTTTTGCTCATGTGTTTGCCTTCATGTGTGGATTTTTAACTGGCTCATACGGAATGGATATAAAGATGGGGAGTTTTTCTAGAAATGTTTGTTGTGTCCATCTCACTGTGGCAGGTTTTTTGTTTCAAACAAAATCTGCATAGCTTCTAAAGAGATATATCTTGACTTAGATGATCTCAAAAAATGTAGTTTGAATGGACTCATGATTTAGATGTATTGGATTAACTCCTACATAAAATAACCCCTTAGTGAAGGAAAGTCAAAGAAGATCATCTTTAAATTCCATTTTGCAGATGAGAAAACTGAATGCCAGAGGAAGACGACTTTGCCTGAGGTGGCCCAGCCCATTACAGCTCAGCTGGAAGGAGAATTCACTTTGTAGGACACTTCAGTACTCTTTGTTTCAGGATCAGCTTGTTACATATTGAATTCTGTTTAATGGGACATAGAACGTTCAACTCTATCAGGATCCACATCTCCTTAGAGAGGAAGAGTAGGTGCTTTTTCTCCTCTTAGGAAAGGTGGAATTATTTTGAAACCTCTTTACCTGGTCATACGATCAATTAAGATTTCATATACATAGGTGTAAATGAATGAGAGCATTTCTTACCTAAAGAAAGGATTCTTCAAATCAAGGATGTTCCCAGACCTGAAGCCTGTCTGGTCAACCAGGGCCATGATCTGAATGCCATAGCTCTGTCTGGAGAGCAGAACAAAACCCAAAGCAAGGCTGGTCAGCTCTTCACATACATTCAGGGAATCTTCTACACATGCTACTTCATGAAGGTTTTCAGAGTACATGCTTGGCATCTTACTTATGTATGGGTGTGTTTATTTGGATGCTATTAATATTAGTAAGGCAATTGGTGGCTTTATGTGATAGAAGAGCTTGATAGCTATAATTTTTTTATCTAAAAATTACAAAGATAATGGTACGTTTGATTTTACCAATTTCAATGACAGAAGTGACTTTAAGTAACAAAGACACTTCATGGGTCATCACTGATAAACCAAAACAATCTTAATTATGGGAGGACTAGCTAAGTTAAAATGTCAAATTGACATAAGACACCTACACCTAACAAATGTGATTGCTTTTAAGAGGCCCCAGATGAAGGCTGATGCAATTACAGCGAGAACTGCCTGATAAGGAAAAGTAATATGACGTGTCCTTGATGACTAATTGGAAGGGGCTTTGTTTGTGGGATTTTTATTATCCATTCCCAAGAATACATGTATTTCTCCTGATTATATGCGTATTACATACTCATTGTATAAAAGCTGAAAAATAAGGAAAAATAGAAAGTAAAATAATAATCCATGTCACTAGACAAAGATTATTTCAGCTAACATTATAGAATATTCACCTATTTTTCCCTCCATGTATTTATAAATTTTTAGCTAAATGTAGGTTTTCAGCAAAATGATGCTTAAACATTCTTTCATATCTCTTTATTTTAAACATTAGCATGCATTTATCCTATAATTCCTGACAATGTTTTTTTCAATAAGATCATATGGGTAGAGCACAATTTATTTACTAATTCTCCACTGTTAAATATTTATGTTTCTATAATAACCTATTATTAATTACAGTAACAAAAATCTAGTTTTGTGACAGAAATTCTGCTGCAAAGGACATTCTTGTAATACATCTTAATATCCTATTGATGATTATTTCCTTGGAATAAATTCTTGGAGGCAGACTCATCAGGCTAAAGCACATAAATATTTTTAAGATTCCCAACACCTACCGCTAAAAGGTCTCTCAGAAACTGTACCAGAGTACTTCCTCACCTACAAGGTATGAAAACGTTAATTTCATTGTACTGTTTCCAGTCCTCAATATTGAAATACTATTAATTTTCTTGATTACTAGGCTTCTTTTTCAAATGCCAAAAATTGGTGAGTGATATAAGTTCTTCTCTTCTCGCTCCCACCCTGTCATACCAATAGTGCCTTGGGTAGACTTAACTGTAATGTCAGATCCTGTGAAACCAGTTACTCAAGTTCTAGATGTTTTTGGGGCCAAGCAAAACAAGCGGCAAACACAGCCAAATGTTTAAAAAAAAAAAAAATCAGTGGTGCCCTTGGATCCTATTTCAACTGCTCTAATTGATTCAGAACTTTTGTTTTAAAATGTGTCTCCCAAGGTACCCACAGCCACTAGTTCCCTGCGTTGTGACCCGTGACGGGAGACTTGAGGAGAACTAGGCACTGAGACGATGAGCTCCACAGGAGAGCAACCTTGCCCGCGTCACAGAGGCGGAGAGGTCAGCCTGTAAGTCAGTCAGGGTGGGCCACACCCATACCTACACATTTTACCAAATGAAGGATACCTTCTTACCAGTTAGAAGTGTAATACAGAACTTAAAGCAGAAATTAGGTGTGAGCAAATGTGTGTATGTATGACTGCATGTATGGCTCAGACTTGTCACAGCCGAGAACTGAATGGCCTCTGCTGTGTTTGGGAAGAATAATCTGCAAGCTCCTGCTGTAGGTTCTCTTTCAGTATTCTAGATACTGTGACATTGTCACTTTACACTCACTTTTCACAACCCACTCCCCTTCCTTACCCACCATTGAAGTTCTAATCCTCCTTAATGGAAGGAAAAAGTGCTATACATCACGGCTCAGTTTGGTCAGTGAAAAGCTGAGATTTGTCCTCAAAGCCCTTTTGTGTGGCGGGAAGGGGAAGACTTAAGAGCAGGGGAGGTAGGTGGGTTCACTGATTTGATAGTGATTCATCTAACTAAGGGAGGACGTGTCCTTACCTAAAATTTCAGGAAAATAATGCACTTTTTATCCCAGTAACAGTGTCATACTAGTGCCAATAGAATAAGGCCAGCTCCAAACTCAATAATTAGTGTGCAATGTTTATAAAGCAACCGATAATGGGCAATCTTCCAAGCCTATGTCTACAGGACCCTAAGTAACTATTAAATCTTTTGAACCAGTTATATGCCATGTGTATTTTAAAATAATAAAACAATTTTAGTTCTTTGCCAGACTTAGTCATTTTAAATCTTATAAAGACAGAGCAGGTGACGTAAGTGGAGACTTACCTTAGTTCAAGGATTGAATATAAAATTATCACTTTGTATACAAACATTTATTTTGTAATATTAGAGTATTATAGATATTGCAAACTTGGGAACAATATATGCAGGACATGTCTTTCTGGAGAATGTGGTGATTTCATCTTACAGAAAATAGAAGGTGCAGAGTGGGACAGACTAAATGCTGACCACCAAGGAGGGGCGGGATGGAGAAGCAGAAGTGGCAGGAAGCTTGGGAGAAAAATAGCCCAAGTCACTGAGGATTTAGACAAAGGAAGGAATGAGAATTTCAGCAGTCATGGACTCTAGACCAGTGCTCTTCAAAGGGGTTTGAATGTGCCCCAGGGAAGATGTGGGATGATACACTGGGGTGTGAAAGAAAATACTCGACTGTGATTTTTAATGTTTTCAGTTATTTGTTACAGTGGCTTAAACTGTGTCCTGCAGAAATATACGTTTAAGTCCTAAGTCCTGGTGCCTCTGAGTATGGTCTTATTTGGAAATAGGGTCTTTGCATATGTAATGACATTTAAGTGCGGTCATACTGGATGAGGGTGGGCCCCAAATCCAATGACTGGTGTCCTTGTAAGAAAAGAAGTGGACACAGAGATGACACCAGGAAGAAAGCCAAGTAAAGACAGCTGCAGAGACCGGTACGATTCAGCGACAGGGAGCACCGGGGAGCGCCAGGCACCGCCGGAAGCTGAGAAACACAGGAGCTGCTTCCCAGGAGCCTTCAGGGGACGTGGCCCTGCTGGCACCTTGACTTCAGACTTCCAGCCTCTGAAATTATGAGAGAATACTTTTTTGTGGTTTTAAGCCACCTAGTTAGTGGCAATTTGTTACAGAAGCTCTAGGAAAATGACACAGTTATTTACCAAATACCTATTGGACATAAGTGAATTCACTAGGTAAATGCTGGATTCTAATCATCAGCTCAGAGTTCAGGTATCTGTTATGTTCACCTAGTTCCTCAGATTTCGCTAGGGTGGGATGGCCCAGAGAGACTGATTACATCTTAAATAATGTCATGCATTACTGAGTAAATGCCAGTGATGGACTCATGGGTCAGAGCTGAAAGAATCTGAGTGAAACTGTAGAACAAAGAAATGTCTCTTCAGGCCGCACCAGCACATATTGTACCTTCACTGCCCTAATCATGCACAGCAGCATCCCCTACAACTTCCCTGGATGCAGCCCAGCTGTCCAAATACGTAGCCAGGAAGAGGTGAAGCCCAAGGCAGAGCTGTTTAATGATGATTATTAGGAATGGTGCTTTACTTCTTTGGTCATATTTCTTCTCATTTTATAAACCCTAAAGCTCATCAGACTCTCTGCAAACCAAACTCTCTGACAAATGTGCATACAGCAGTCTTTCATTGGGATCCAAACATTGTACTTATGTTTCAAAACATTTTGGCCCAGGATAAGGGAATGAACTAGAACCAACAATCAGCCTACATTTATGTTTTAAATTTATTCTTTTTATTTCCATTTTTGTGTGTCTTATGAAGTACACACCATGTGAATTGCTATGTGTGTATGTACACACAGACATGTCTATGCATGTATGTATATGTGGATATATATAGTATGTAGTATATAGATATATGTACATATATATATGCAGTACATAGAGATATACATACATACCTACATATATCTCTGTATAGATCTATCCATCTAGAGCACTTGGTTTTGTGCTTCCTATTGTTATTATTATAGGACATTCAATTAAAGGGTAAACATTAGTATACTTGGGCATTATTATGCATATTAGTATATTATATATTAAATATAAGTACATTATATATTATGTTTATTAGTATATTTGGGCACAAACGTGTTTTTACTTATAGGTACACATAATCAAAAAACTTTGGAGACCACTGCTGTGAACTTTAGGGATATAAATTTCATAAAAAAGAGAAGTTCTATTTTATTGGCTAGAGCAGTAAAATGAATGACAGCTCAAGAATGATGGGAGGCTGTCAAAAATAAAATGCTAACAATTCAATCATAAACAGTCCTGGTGGGGAAGAAAAGGGCAGTCATTGTCACACCTGTGTGGTTGCATAGGGAGTTCTCCCAAGAGGCCAGAGTTTGAAAGAATATTTGACAATAAAAGGGAGGAGATCCTATCCAAGGGAGAACAAAGAGGTAGCACCTTATTGAAAAGGTGTGAAAACACTGACATTCAGGAAGTGCTTTGATTTATGGAAAATACCAAGGAAAACAGTATTTTAAAACAAAAAGTCTGAAGAGATACAGTGAGAGTAAGAAAGGGAATCAGGGAAGAGGTAAAGGGACTATGATCTACTGTGGACCTACTATGTGGTAATTACTAAACTATGTTCCTTTCTTTAATATTTGCGAAGGCCTAGAGAGACAATTACTGTAAATTCTACTTGACAGACAATGATGTGAGGAAACTGGGGTGCTAGAGAGATTCCTTAGATCGCCCTAGATCACTCAAGTACCAACTGCTCTGCAGAAGGGACTGGACAGAACGAGGATCCAGCAGATTCCAAAATCTGGTCTCCTTCATTACCCAGGGTGCTGGGCTATTAAGATAAAGAACTTCTTCCCTTCTTCCCCCTGCCAAGTATTGCATGCCCATGATATCTGAGTGTTTTTTTAA